TACCCTCAAAGATATTATAGTTCAAGAAGCTAATTAACTGTTATACTTTTGCTTTAATTTACGAGAACTGAATATTTTATTTCCTTATACCTTCTCAATCAGATAGAGAAATCATCTATTTTGAACAGCGTTTTATTAAATCAAGTGGTGATGTAAGTTAATGAGACGGTTGATATTGCTTAGTTCCAACAATTTATGGTATGTTTAGTGCGGTTCCGGCTAATTCACATCGTACGTCGTGCTTCAACTTTATTCGATTCCTTGCTTTGGTTTGTGATCCCCGATCAAACATGAACAGATGTCGGTGGCTTCACATTTGTTTCATACATTCCTTCCAAGTCGGTGCTGGCTGACACGATCCCACCATCATTCTGTATCGATACGTCCTGAACACTAATCATCTGTTATTGTTTCTCCTACCTGGTAAACATTCGCACGCTCCTTTACCTGGTCGTCTGACCAATGTTCCCACCTAAGTGTTCACTTAACTGTACTTCGACCCAATGAAGGAGTACTTGATTTAATAGCCCGCGGTGCATTTTGAGAGTTGTGTGCAATGCGCAGAGGCTTGTGAATGATCGTTCAGTTTGGGCAACATAAATAGATAAATAACTCTTTTATTTTCCGACGATGCGAGAGACTATTCCCACATTGGGAAAGCCCAAGTTATTTACAGATTTTTTCATTTAGTCCCCTCTACATATTACATGGGAATATGCATTATGTTATATCCATGTCAGTTTCACACATGCATGTTCAGGGTGATGTGCAGAAGATTGTCCTGGGGTTATATCCTCCGTTAACGGATGTCCCGTCTATCTGGACTAGCGCAGTCTGACCAGAAGGTGGAAATGGGACTTTCGTGGATGAGCCATTCTTTCAAACTCCCGCTGACGCGCAATCCAACTTCATCGATCGATTAAAACACGTTCAGAAGTCCCAGTTCGTAGTGGACTCAGGGAGGAAATAAAATAAACATAGTATCAAAGTAGGTAAGAACCAGCTATACAATGATTACGAGTAAAAATGAATAAAACCTAAATATCTGGCAAAGAATAATCCAAACATATAGACATCGGTTTGCATGGAATACATAACATTTGGCAAGCGTTTATGTAATTTCCCCAGTAGTTGTTTCGGGACATCTAAAAATGCGGATTCATGCCGGAAGCCTTACCCCGTGAGAAAAGTGTTTAAGAATGAAATGAAGATTCTAATAACAACAGACTCTGGCGCTAAGTAGAATGAGAGCGAAAGGTGCGTCATTTGGTAAATGAGAACATTTCAGTGTGACGCAGCTATATTAGTAAAAGGAACCTAGATGATAGCAACACAATTACTAAATTGTCAAACAAGGTCTAGAAAGTATGGTATAACACAATACTATATGTGGTCATGAGTTGTAGTGCAAAGCTTTATGGTCGCTATACTCCAGATTATTACGGCATACAATAAGGCTTTTGTGTGTCACCAGCCATAACTTTTGTAGTTATTCTAAACGATGTTAACTTTTATTACACTAGGGTAAAGTACAAATAATAGTATAAGCATGGAAGAGCAGGTCTGTGAAAATATAGGAGCTCGGTGTCCACCCATCACTGAGCCTGAGATTTAACAGGCGCATGGTGGGAAATGGAACCAGGTAAAAATTTCTTGGAGATGGCCAAGGTAGAGTGTAGGGGTGGTCGAAAATCCTGTAAGTCCAACTATCCGAGATGACAGAGGCCACTCTGACACACGGTTAACTTTCGGATCAGGTTAAATGAATATGGAATATTGAAGCGCAAGATGATGACAAAGTACGGAAAAAGATCTGGCTTCTCATTCTACCAATCTGGCAGTGTTGACATTAGCAGATCGCGAGCGTTCAACTCTGATACAAGTTTATAGATGATGCGGACCAAGATGAGGTGAATTGGAGTGGCAAAACCTGGGTCACATTTGGTGTTTCATCAGAGGAATAGTTAACCAACTATCTGGAATGTTATGATATGGAGTACCGAGGTGAACTTTTTTCAACCCAAGGCAAAAAAGGAAATCAGATGATCTCTCTATTCCCAAGTAGCTACACTTTCTGTTTCTGATCAGTAACTAGTGCAGGTCAATTAGAAAAGTCAGTGAAACGAAATGAACCGAAACCTTTTAACGCTAGGCTATCCGGTAGCCCAAGTGTGGAAAATGAAACATTGAGCATAGCAAAAAGAAAATAGAAAGGACAGATAAGCAGGGTCGGAAGTTAGTGTACAAGGTGAGATCTAAACGGAGCAGCATTTTGAATGCGGTGGATGTGAGGCTCGATTTTTAAAATTCTATGGGACCTCTCATAAATATCGTCTAGAGATCTAGCTTCGCCCAGTATACGTAATTCCACTTCTACGGTGAGGTGGTTGAATCCTTGAGCTCAAACAACATTCGCACCAGCCACCATGTGTTGAATTTCACTTCTAGCATCTATCGTCACCACTTTAGGATCGAACCCATTTGTTGGCTGCCGTATCTGGAGTGAACAGCGCTGAAAAAGTCCCAACATTCGCATACGTTTGGTTAGCTGTGACATGAAATATCAAAGTAGGTGCGAACGAGCAAGGGCTGCGATCGATCGGAAGGCTGACCCATTGGGCCGAATTTTAACACATCTTAATGGGGGCCTAGGTAAGCATGAAGGGACTTGGCTTTATTTCGCGTTTAAAATATAATGGTGATTCTAACCAAATGACTTGGATTGCATTGCCATAGAGCAGGGGAACGAAACATAGTTGGCCACGACCTTGGAGTTACAGACCTTTCCGGCCGACATCAGCTCATGCATGGTGAATTTATTAATGCATCCGATTTTATCCGCTCATTTATGTTTACCATCTTCTCATTCAGCGTTTTATTTATCAGCTTAGCTAACTTCAATTCGGGCAGGAAATGCCCAATGTTCATCAACTTCACATTCAACCTTTTGTTTGTTCGCCTCCTATTTTCGCAATGTCAGCTGGTCTTCACATCGATTGCCCGCAATGCGGCGACTAAGTCCCTCACTGTCTTGGTTTAATTCAGCTATTAATGCATTTTACCTCAACGTTAACGCTCACTATAGAATGCGAGTGCATCGCTACGTGTGACCACCACCCTATCTGTTGTTCATGCGCACGTGTGTTGAAATGAAATCACTCCCGTGTGTCGGCTTATTTTTGCTCTGTGTATGCAAATGAGTCTTGGGTGGTCATCGTTCATCGTCATCTGACCAGTCCAGTAATGGACGGACAACTTCGGAATCGAAGCTACCCGGCTCATGAGCTGGCACTCTACTTGACGATATCATCGATGGTGCAGCGTCCAATCGTCACTCAGTTACTGCTGAAGATGCACTCAGGTAGTAACGCACACAAGACGGTTGTTCATTTGCATAACATAGGCTAACAGTTTCATCCCCCACTCTCCTCACAGCCTAACTGCAGGTGGCACCGTGGGCTTTCCGATTACTTAGTGCGATCTTCAATGTGCCATTCCGCCTCCCGTGGATCGTGTCCGGTGTTCACTGGGTCATTTATAGCTGTTGCGTTATTTTATTATTCTACCGCTAGTCACCTTATTCGTTTCTATCCAAACCTCCACGGCGAATCCATTATGTTGTACAGTAATCCGCCTATCCACAAGTGACCCTATGTCCATTTTCACAACGATAATATCAGCACACTAGGCTCACACCGTTCGACTGTTCCCTAACTTCCACTCCCTATGTTATCCGACTTTTCCACTTGCTCTTTCACCCTTGCTATAGACACTTGACCGTCGGTTATCTTGTGAACGCCAAGTAATCACACCCCCTTCATCTTCAGTGTCCACGACTACGCACCATAACTTCACCCATTTGTGCGAGTATGCTGGAGTGTCCGATTCGAACTTTGCACACTCCTGATTCTCGAGACATTTTTAGAGACCAGTTACTGTCGCTAGCGGACTTCCATAGAGTTAGAGGTTTTCCTGGTCTGATTTATTTTCAAAATAATCGCACTACGTTTTCCGCTCACTTTACTCCAAAACCCATACAGCTACCACCACTCGGCATTTGCGCAATCTCTACCGGACTTAAAATATTCCTGTCACAACCCAGACATATTTCGGGCATCGACATTGTAGCAAACACTTCAGTCGATCATGTTTGCTTTTCGAGTTCGGGTCGCAATGCTGCTGTCCATACCTGAAGAGGGCGAGGAAGCATGAAGCCAGGCATGCGGTGCAGTTTTGCGATCGCGCACGATCGCTATCTCACTGCGATGTACGTCCTTTTATCGACATTGCGAAACGTAGACCAACTATATGGCCTGATTATTCTGTACAACAGAATCGGATAATGGAGCAAGTTGTCCGGGTTTTTCAATGTAGTTCCCGATGGAGTTTTTGAGGGTATTCTGTAAGTTAAAAGTAATAAAAAGCTAGAGAAGTTGAGAGTAGGAATAAGTGTAACTATCGCCAGCATTTCAAGCAAATCAATACGGCTATCTGTGAAACCGTCACCTTGGGGCCTGCTTCCATTCGGGATAATCTCCCGAACGGTGTCATCCACTGCATACTAGGGGCATACCCGCGAGCGACTCAGGTTTAACAACTGCCCCAAATGTTGGGTTTTCATCTCCGGATCCGGATCCTTTGTGTTATTCCGTGTATGCGCTCACGATACGTATCTGATGTATTTTTCTCAATACTTTTGCGAAGTGGTCAGCTGCGTAACCAGTGGTCGCCCTCAACTCTCCAGCTGCTTCATGTTATTTGGTATCCCTATTGTATGAGGCTTTCCTGGGCTTTTTCATTCTCTCACGGCTGTGTATTATTGCTACTCTTCGTATCCACTTTTTCTCTATGTTTAAAAATAATTCATGTTGTCTTTACCACATGCACTTTATAGCATTTATCAATGTAATTCCTGCTCACCTCGCGGAGTGCAAAACATTTGACTATGTTCACACTAACTTCGGCTTCCGCTGCTCATTTTGCTTCCCACTTCGTTTCAGCCGCGTTTCACCGATGATCTTCCATCTATTACCACTTGTATGAGTTCTCCGGTGCTTACGTCCGTTGCTTCAGAAACCGCTGCATTAAATCTCAGCTCCCGTTCGGTACATTCCCGTTCTCCTGGCCTTTTTCACTCCCACAATCGATTGACCACCTCCAGCTGTGTACCCGTTGCGCCGACATGTTCTCATCAACAGGCGTCGCAGGTCAACATGCGGGCTGTAACTCCAAGAGCTACCCCAACTCAGTCTCTCATTACCAGCACTCAATCCTATGACCCATCTCCTACGCAACAACAACTTCAAGCAGCATACGAACACGCCATGCTGCTCGCCACTGCTGCTGCAGCCGCAGCCGCACAGCACCCTCATGCACCTTACCATTCCCAAGTTCAGCAGCAGCAGCAGCAGCAGCGCGATGCGATGCATCAACCGCACAATCGTTCCTCCACTTCCCATTCTTCGAGGAGTAACACTCCAGCCGTCTGTGGTCCCGGGAGCAAACCAAACCACACAAACGCTACCCAGTTATCTGCCCGAGTAGGTGCCGCGTCGGGCACATTTTATCCACCAATGCTCGGCACCTCCGGACGGAACTTGTCCTCTCCTCCTGCGTTTCATGGTCGGATACAGACCTCTACGCCACATACACCCCACCCTTTCTCTCCCATGCCTCAGATACAGCAGTGGCCGAATTCATCGGTTGCTGGCGGCGGGCATGGTGTCGCGCAGCATATTCCCCAGCACACTGGGCATCCTGCTTCTTCCGTTCCGGGTGAGTTTGACAAGCATTTAGTCCATATTGGTCGTTGACATTTCTTAAATACATCATAGTTTATTAAAACCGTTACTGTCACCCTACTTATTCTTTATTACCATAAATTGTTACAGCTCTCGCCAATCCATCTGCTACCGCGGAGGCTTTGTGGCGAAACCCAGAATTTATTCAACGCCAAATGGCCCTCATGGGATTGTTGCCTCGTAAGTGTTCAACATGTTTCCGTGATTGGCTGCCTTTTTACCCATGTGTGTTGCATTCTTTTCTGGATGAAGTAGCCACGTCATCTTCGCAAAGTGAGTAAGCGATTTAAAAAATGTCAATTTTGAATTTATCGCGTCATTGCGCTGCTGTAATTATGCGCCATTTAAATAACCGAATAAATGGACATTTTCAGACTGTTCGCGAAGCCGATTCCTTGTGGGTCGGGTCAATATTTACAGGGTGTTCATTCTCGCTCATGAATAACGCAAAAAAAGCAGATTTATGTCTTTCATAATTCCGAAAACATGTGACAATTTATGTACTTTTCGAGTTTAATCGGGATCCATTATGGTGAAGATTCTTCTAGTACTCTCATGGGCAACAGATAAACGCGAATGTTTCAACATTCCGCTGATGCTCAGATTCACTCTATCGATCATTTTCATTTCATCCAGAAGGTCCAATACATTGTAAACTCATGGAATGAAGTAAAAGTAGTGTTTGCATTAGAACAGACCAAAACGGGTTCTAAACCGATTGTCAGTGTGACTAAATGAAAAATAGTAAAGCCGTGTCAAGGAAAAGTCTATTATTTATCATTCATCACTCGCAAAATAGAATCGGTAACATATTCGTTAGACATTCCGTCAACATGAGACCCTGAAGGCCTAACAATGCGCAATTACACTGTTAATCTCCTTCTAAGTGTCGGCCGGTGGCCGAGTGGTCTGCGCGTTTGGTTTGCAACCATAAGGTCACCGGTTCGAATCCGCGTAGCGGTGAGTGTCCTCGCGGTATACTCAGCCCGCGCGCGACTGGTGGTGGTTGCGCGGTAGCGAAGCGCCGTTACGGCGTACAGCTGACACATTATTATTTTTTATTTTTTTATTATTCTAAGTGAAAAGTAGAACCAAATGGAAAACAAAACAAGCCGGTTGTAATAGTCACTTATCGCTAAGTATAATTGGGGGGAAATCACTGCGCAATATTATGTATTTTACGTGTTTCATGGTGACTGCGAAAAGTTCTAATTATTAATATGTTTGAAAAGCACAACAAGAAGACGACAGTGGGTAGATGCTAGCATTTCATATTGTCTCTTTAGTACCAATAACAATAACCGATGCGAAACAATAACAGACGGTGGATGTGACCAGACAAAGAAACAAAGTTGGGGATCAAAATAGATGAAAACGATTCGGTCTTTATGTCCACGGGTGTCTGAGACTGACGAATAGCTGTTTGTGCACGCACAGCTGCATTCGACTAATCGCGATAGCGTCAGCGAACGGAAAAAATCGCGAATTAAAGTGCTGCTGCAAAATTTTTTTATGCGGTACCAAGCCGGATCCGGTGACCAATTATCAACAGGCGTTTAGCTATCGAGGGTCCCGGATGTACGTGTTCCTTCATTCTGGACGACAACGCCTTATCGGTACTGTCAATGTAACTGGATCCGCAGTTACATGTGGAATGGTATACACAATGAGAGCTGACGCCGATTGGTATAGCTTACTTCGGATGAGGTACAGGAAAATTGCTGGTTCGGTTGATGTTGACGGCCTGAGCAATATAGCAGGCCCTATGCGCAGCAGCGGTCAATTGCTTATTGCTCTTTGAGGTGGCGAAATCACCCTTGAAAGATAATTCGATATAAACTTTATTCTTAGCTGCATCCGGTACCAAGTGCTTTGGTCTTCCTGATTGGCCGTACTACTCTATAAACCTTTGTGAACAACCATTTGACATCATTGGGACTGTAATTCGTTCCAACTCATCGCTTAGACAGTCTGCAGAGCATAGTCGTTTGACACGACTAAATTAGTGTGTTCACTAAAAACAATGTAAGTTATAAATTTTAGTTGGAAATACAGGGTCAAAAAGGTACAATATAGCTCATCGCTATTAGTAATGGCGACATGTACCATTAAAATACGATTTTCTAAGCTTGATAGTTAAAATAGAAAGATAAACGAAAAATTACAAAGTCGCTCAATTACTAGTAAATATTGTTATTACTATGATAAAGCTTCCTACTGGATGTAATAGACAAATGATAGCATGGTACTTCATTTTTCGAAGGATTCAGACCTATAAGCCACAAGTTCCATACCGTCCAGTGGCTGTGACCATAGCCTTATATGGGCATGGTTGACATAGGTGTGTTAGACTGGTTGATGGTACAGTCGACCCATGTGAGCTTACCTATTAGAAATCTGAAAGGAATGCTAGGAATTTTAACCATATGGGCTCACTGTTTATTACTGCTTAGTCCAGTCCACAACGGAGACATAAATGTTTTAGATTAATACTAAAGTAATGGCAATGAGAAAAGACAGGAGAAATTCTCGACCCGTTGATTTGGCAAATAACTGAATGTGTAGAGTTTTTATGACAAGAGTTCCAACGAGTGTTCGCAGATGTGGAGGATTGTGTCACTTGTTTTAGGAAGTCTAAGTATCTATCCCTTATATTATTATTAATAATAATGTTATATATTAATATTATTATCTAATATAATAATATAATAATGTATATTATAATATAATATTATTATTATTATTTTGAAAATCTAGAGAAGATGCTAACAATATGTGACAATGACTGCCAAATTAGGATAAAAACAGCACCTGGGTGCGTCACTTGATTTCACATCAGAGGTTGATCTGGTAGATGATGTTCTAGCGTACCGATCAAAACGAATAAATTGCTGCAAAAACTAATAGCAGGGTTTTTTTGTGAAACTAAGGGTTGATTTTCCAACCCATTTAAGCGCTAGTGATTTCACTGACGCATAATGGGTCTTGGAGCCAGGTGAAGCAGAGGATACTTAGAGATGATCAAAGTGATGTGACTTGATGGTCAGAAAGTTCTTCATGTCAAACTAACCTAGGTGATGTAGGTTACTATGACACACACGGAAATCTTTATCACCAGTGTCTTTGAGCATGAACTGTCAAGGACTGTCAAGATGGCAATAACATCAATTTAATATGATCTGGCCTTCCTAGCTTTCCATCTAACAGTGCTTTCACTAGTGACTGATATGCTTTCAGATCAGACAAAAGCTAAGAGTAATGAGGGTCAAAATGAGGTTGAGTGGAATGGAAATAATTCTAAATCTCAAATTGTCGCTCCGCCAGTGGTCCATTTGCCGTCTAATTGGAATGGATATTTTGCGAAGTATCAAAGTGTGCACCTGAATCAAAGCATATAGGGAAAAGATCAACATATAATAAATTATAATAGTGGGTTAAGAATGCCGGTGAAATTTTGTGTACTTGGGTTAAGGTATCATTTGACACCCACGGTTCTCTTGGGCCTTTCGCATGCATATCTTCTGTACATGTGATTTCATCCAATACACACCGTAACTTCTCTGTAGCAAAGTATCTGACAACTTGTGCACGGAATGCATTTTTATTGTTGCAGCGTTTATTATGCTCAGACAACTTGTTCCAAGACGATGTGTGTCTAGTCAGAAAAAAACCTGGAACCCAGCTATGTATTCGCTCTAGGGAGGCGGATGCAGGATGATATATTTCTAATTGAATATAGATGATTAACTTCACAGATTTCTTATGCACAAGATAGAACAAAATAACTAGGTTAATCTTATTTCCTGTCAGTTAGAGTGGTTCTATCTACGACAATTTACACCGCTGCTGTGTAGTCAGGGTGCTTGATCCTTCTAGACTTTTGATAAAGACCCGTTACACCTTTTGAGGGTGATTTTGTGGCATATTTTCGAGTTTCTGAGTATTAGTAAGCAATATTCCAGGATAGGGCGAGGCTATGCCTTGTACACAGTCTACCTAGAATCTTTCAGCTATAACTTTCTGAAAACACGTGGCATAGTAAATCTACCCTTGGCGGTGATGTACTGTTTCTGCTCAGCAAAGTTTAAAGATCTAAATAGCGAACTCCCAAGTCGCTAATCATTGCACAGCAGGTGACAGGTTGGTCATTTAACTTCGGCTTGTCTTTTGTACGGTGACAGTGGAAGGAGAGCACTTGACATTTTTCCGAAAAAGGGCCAATTTCCATTGTCGGCACCGCATTTTAAGAGCTTAGAGCTTGGTTTAACTCAATCGACCGGCAGTCTAAGGCACTCTTTCTGTCAAACACAATAGTTTTAGTGTCTTCAGCAAAACAGAAGTCCGAAAAACATTGTTTATGTTTAGCGAGAATGGCAGTGGACGAAAACACTTCCCTATATTATGACACTGGCCACTCGTTATGATAGAAATATATAGGCGAGCGACCCTGGCGCCGATCCCTGATACGGAGCCAAAGCATGACCGGTGGACCACACTCTCCCGCATGGATTGGACTCACGTGTAGCTAACTGAACGAACCGGCCAATTCACGCGAGAGTTGTTTTCTTGGTTGGCCATAGATTGACCTTTCTAGACGTTTCAATGTGAGTTGCATACACTGTTCTCGAATGCTCGATTTGGACTGTATAACAGACGGTGTGACTAGCCAATATAACCCCTTTTCCCTCTGCTGCTCCTACACCGGTCTTTTCTCTTTCCCGTGGGGGGAGGGGCAGTGACCTCGAGCTTCTGAAGGATAACCGGCCATCTAATCAGTCAATGAACGACCATTTCCGTACTGAAGTAGGTTTTACTACGCAATTCATAATTTTCACTAGCTAGTTACGCGTATATGAAACATGATAGACGTGCTGGTAGGAGCTTAATGATCTGAAGTTCGGCCTGGGATGCAATGTCGTCAGTTTTAGCCTTGTCGAAAGAAATAACTAATCACTGACCGGAGTCAGTCAATTCAGTTGCGTAATCAAGGAATTCGCACCAGTGGGACTCCATGCTACGATTTGCTAGTGACATTATTTGCATTTAGAAAATGCATAATTCTTTCTTTACTTCTTTCCACAATTCTATTTAATATATACGTCTGGCTAATTGGGAGGCAATTGTCTATCCAATGAGGGGATCCTCCTTTGTGTCGGTGTGTGGCGATGGCCTGCTTCCAC